GCATTAGAAAAAAGTGGGAAGAGGAGCACCTGGGTGGCTCAGTCGTTAAGCGTCTGCCTTCGGCTCAGGTCATGATCCCAGGGTCCTGGGATGGAGCCCTGCATCGGGCTCCCTGCTCAGTGGGGAGTCTGCTTCTCCCTATTCCTCTCCCTCTGCCCCTCCCCCTGCTCATGCTCTCTCTCTCTCTAATAAATAAATTAATAAAATCTTTTAAAAAAATGGGAAGAGAAAGGAAAGGAGCTAGAAACATGAATGTAGCAGAGATCATTCCCTGGACTAGGGTCCACTCAGCTATACCCCCGGTTTCAGGTTCTACTAATTCACTTGTATGAGGGTAGTGGAATAAGGTGGCAGAGGACAAGGTGTGCCAAGGGACCTGGAAGAGCTTTGTTGTCTAGGATGACCCATGTTCCAGCCCTGGATCTGCCACTTCCTACTGACTGTGGGATCCTGGGCAGATGTCTACCTCTGAGCCTCAGTCTCCTTACCTATACAATGAAGATAAAAAATGCTTACACATCTTGTGAGACATAAAGGCTATGTCAGTTGAGTGCTTAGCCCAGTGCCCAGCCCCTGGTGTGTGTTCAGTAAATGGGAAATCTTGGTATAACAACTGTCTGTAATCAGCTTTGGGCTGTTCAGGATCAAGTTTCTCCTACTGCTTCTTGTGTGCTTACTTAACTTCCACAATAAAATAAGCCCCTCAAAGGCAGTTATAGAAGAAATTTGTGATCAATAGATACATTATCCCTTTCAAGTAAATGACTCTAGTTTTTCTGCCCAGACTCGCAGAGGCCTCAGGCCTAGGATTTGCTTGCCCTCTGCTGCAAGTTGGTTCCCAGGAGCAGACTCAGACAGGGGTGTATGCGGGAAGTGTACCAGGGAATGTTCTTGGGGCCAATGCTGTGGAGGAAGGGAAGGCAGCAGGAGAGGCAGAAGTGGGCTCTGATGTAGTCAGAAGGCCTCAGCTGACCGTGTGTGGAGCACTGACGCTGGGATGGCCCTTCAGGGTTCTCCCCGGGGTTTTCAATCCCTGCCCTTGCCTTGACATCGGATGTGGCCATCCTGGGAAGGAGGCACTGCCACCTTGCGCGTACACCCAGACCCTGGGGAGAGAGTCCTGAAGCAGGGGTTTGGGTGCGGCAGCACCCACTTGAGTCCCAGTGGTGGCTTTGGGGGATGTGGTAGCTGCTGCGAGTCCTCTACCCAGTATCCACTCCCCCTTCTTCCTTGTTAAGAGGCGCTTGATTGGAGACAGCAAGGTGCCCAACAAAAATACTCACTTTTCTAGATTCCTTTGCAATGGAGGTGGGCCAAGGGACCCTGTTCTGGCCAGTAAGATGTAAACAGCAGTCTGGGATCCTGATGACATGGTAGGGCCACTGGAGAAAATGAAAGGCTTTGTTTGCTTAACCACTGTACTCAGGTTTCTGTTGCATGTAACCCAATAGTCCTAAATAGTTATGAGAGGCACCATCACATCCTGCTTAAGAACATGGTCCTTCAAGTTAAATGGACAGTAGCTTGGAGTCCCACCTCCACTGCACACTAGCTATCTACGGGAAACCTCCGATGAGTCACTCCATCAGACTTAGCTGTCTCTCGAAAGTGGGAATGATGGTACTACCTAAGACGTGTCCCATGTCACACTGGGGTAACCAGCTTGTCCCAGCGTGCCTGGAACCTGCTCAGTTTTAGCAAGGGGAGTCCCGCATCCTGGGAAACTCGTCAGTCCCAGGCAAACCAGGACAGCTGTCCTCCCTATTAAAACACATCCCCAAACTACCCTATCTCCTTTACAGATACAAGCCTGTAGGCTGAAGGCTAAAATGAAGGCTAAAAATATTTGCCGCTATCCCCTAATGGCTGAGTATAATATAGCATTACAGCCAAGATGAGTTTTACATTATATAATAGTTTTTTCTTACCAAAAACGGCAACCACAGATGGTCAGAGGCACAGTTGGAATAGTCTCCTGTTCATTTAGATTTAAATTTATAACAGTTGTAACCCCACTATGTTTTAGTACTCATTGATATTCACCAGCAAATATGGTATAGTGTAGGGCTATTGGGAGGATTAGTCTAGGAAAAGCCTTTTCCATGGTGTGTTACAGAGCACACACACTGTAAAGTTCACATACGCGTGGGTTAGACTCTAGGCTTTCACTCTTCCTTTGGAAAAGTCACTTCATCCCCTGCCCCCAACCCCCAATCCAGCCTCTTTCCTCATTTGTATTGGGGGTAACAGGAACTTCTTGAGAGGGTTGTTTGATTGATAAAGAAATGCTTGTGGGGCCCCTCAAGGGAAGCATGAGCCCACAAAGGCCTCAGGCCACCCCCTGCTGGGGGGCTCTGCAGCTCTGGGAGGAGCCCAGCAGACCCTTCAGGAACACCTGCTCCTCGTCAAGGCCAGGCTCAGCTGGCAGATGGGCTTCAGGGGCCAGGAAAACCTGACCAGACCCTTGGAATTCAGCTGCTTCCTCTTAAGCAGAAGCTATTATTATTCATGAGATGGCCACGGGGTAGGCACTATACAGGGGTACAAGCCCAACATTTAGTTCAGTGGCCTTGAGCAATGGGAGCTAACTGGTGCCCAGGCTGGAACTCTGGCCACCATCCAAGCCAGAACTGCAATGTAAACCCTGGCTGTTCTCTGCTTTTGACTTGCAGCTGGGCTACACCCACACTAGCTGGGTTGCTAAATCTTTTCAGAAGGCTTCCTGAAGATTCACAGAAATGGAAGCATGCATCCCTGCCTCTCCAGTATCAGTCTAGGGGTCCTAGAGAAAGGAATCACTTTCTTTTTCTTTCCAAAGCCTAATTCTTTTTTTTTTTTTTTTGAAAAATTTTATTTATTTGACAGCGAGAGAGACACAGCGAGAGAAGGAACACAAGCAGGGGGAGTGGGAGAGGGAGAAGCAGGTTTCCCGCCAAGCAGGGAGCCCGATGCGGGGCTCGATCCCAGGACCCTGGGATCATGACCTGAGCCAAAGGCAAACGCTTAAAGACTGAGCCACCCAGGTGCCCCCCAAAGCCTAATTCTGCTATAGCTTTGAAGACCCTCCAATAGGCTTAATAGCAGTATTAAGTTCTTCAGTTCTGTTTATAAGTGAAAGTGGAGAATACTCTGGTATATTAATATCTATAGCTATATTGAAAAAAGGGTTAACTATTCAGTTGGGCTACAAAATTAACACATACAATTGCTGGCTTCTGCTTTTTCTGTGTACCTGAAAAGCCTGTGGCCCCATTTTAGTACCTTGGTTTTAAGTTTCAGTCTTGTTCATTTTTTGTTTTTTTTTTAAAGCTTTATTTATTTGAAAGAGAGAGAGTCTTAAGCAGACTCCACCCTAAGCTCAGAGCCTGACGCCAGGCTGGATCTCAAGATCCTAAGATCATGCATGACCTGAGCCAAAACCAAGAGCCGGATGCTTAACCGACTGCACCACCTAGGTGCCATTGTTTGTTTGTTTTTTTAATTTGACAGAGAGAGAGAGAGAGCGCGCCAGAGCACAAGCAGGGGGAGCGGCAGGCAGAGGGATAGGGAGAAGCAGGCTCCCCACTGAGCAGAGAGCCCAACACAGGGCTCAGTCCCAGGATCGGGACTTGAGCCAAAGGCAGACGCTTAGCCGACTGAGCCACCCAGGCGCCCCCAGGTACCATTTTAATGATATTTTAAAATCTTGTGTTATGTGTACCGTTAAATATTATGCACTGGCTATAAAAAGAGCTACCTATCTACCTACCTACCTATCTATCTCAATGTGGAAATATCCCCAAGACATACTGTTAGGGGAAGCAAGTTAATGAGAAATATGTTTAAGACATACTGTTGAAGGAGACAAAATAATAAAATATATTTTAAGGGAAGCAAGTCACAGAACAATATATATAAAAGTGATCTTATTGCTATTTAAAAATTACATATAGTTCTACATCTGCATGGAAAATTTCTGGAAGAATATCTGTCAAACAGCTCAGTGTTCTCTCTGGAGGTGGAACTAGAGGAGAACTTCACTTTTGAAGTTTTCAGTATAGTTTGTTTTCCAGTGTGCATGTATTAATTTTAATCATAAAAACAAGACAGCTGAATTTGCACATGTATACACCCACACCTGCCATGAACTGTCATTAAGACCATTGTCCAGAAACCAAGAACTAAATGCATTAATCTCGGCTCAGTGCTCAGTGTTTGTTTATGGAGTGAGATGTCTCAGAACTTGATACTGAGGAAGATATGTTAATGATGTGCGTACCTTACGTCTTGGGAGGCAAAAGCTTTATCTATGCTTTTAATGTTGGCTCTTATCCAAAATATTTACCTTTACCAACAGATGTTTCAAACTGATTCTTTTTAAAGATTTATTTGAGAGAGCGAGCCAGAGAGAGTGCCCCACCCCAGAATAGGGGGGAGGGGCAGAGGGAGAGGGTGGAGGAGAGACTCTCAAGCAGACTCCCTGCTGACCCCAGAGCCTGAGCCTGACGTGGCGAGGCTCGATCTCACAACCCTGAGATCATGACCTGAGCCAAAATCAAGAGTCAGACGCTTAACCGACTGAGCCACCCAGGTGCCCCTGAAACTGATTTTTAAAATATCTTCTGATCCACTTTTAGTTTTAAGTCTTCAAGCTGTGTTTAGCAGTTCTAATTCAGATATACTGTGAGTGGGAGCAAAAAACAACTGATTAGGCTTTAAATACGCAAGAGACAACACGTGATTTTCAGCAATCAAAGAAGCAATTAAGATAGATTTTAAACCAGTCCAAGGCCACTGGCTGTGCACGTCCCCCCAGCCCCCGGAGCCCAGATGCTGCTGTCAGAGCAGCAAGCCCTGGCCCCTCCAGGCCCAGCACTGCCTGGCCTCCCTTTTCCACGCGTACCTGGGAGTTTTCTAATTTAAACGTTTTTACTTACACCAAAAAAACCCAAAAAACAAAAAACATAAATTTCTAAAATATTGGAACCTACTTGAAAAGAACTAGAGTGACTTGTAGGTACAAACCATGACTTGTATGTATGAGTATTCTTCAAAAATTTATTTATAGAAACAGACGTATCCAAAGGCAACATTAGACAAAAACAAAGAAAAGTTTGGAATGCCAACAACACTGGAGATTCTCACTTGCACTTTACGTTTCTTCACATGGAACTAGCACCATTGTAGTTCAGAAACCACAGATTTAATTACAATTGCTTCTAATATATAAAATATCTTATAAAGATTTTTCAACTATCTAGTAACAAAGTTCTTCCAAAAACTTATTTGAAAATCAATTAGAATTTACCATTTGAAATCGATGAAAACGGTTTAAAAATTGATCCAATTCTATGGCTTGTCAAAGGGAATGAGCCATAATTAGTTTTACTGGAAGAAAATGCCTGAATTCAGCTTCTGGCTTCCTTCTAACCACCAAGCAGGTACGGTAAATTGAATATTACCTACGAATAAGAGCACATCTAAAACCAGTCTTAGAAAATACTTTCCTAGACTATAAAAATACTAAGTGGAATACAAAAATTTCAGCCTATACAGCAAATAGACTACAGCAGACAAATATTTAAAACATACTTAAAACTATCTTCTACCATAATCATCATGAACATCAAGTATTATCCTAATGATTTTTCTATGATTCATTCTGATTTGATGTTTATTTCCCCTCAAGTTTCGTTGTAACACCAGCGACAGACCAAATTCGGTGTTTCTCGCAGAAGTTCCTGGAGGCACCACTGAATAATTCTTTGTATTCAACTGGTTCTCAAAGTGCTGAAAGTGCAAATGTGGTAGAGCCTGTGTTTTTGAGATCGGGGTCAGCAACCCCGGGCCGTGAACACAGCCACACGTTCATTTGTTCACGTTGTCTGTCTATGGTTGCTTTCGTGCCACATGACTGTATGTGGCCTCTGGGTCCCCCGAGTCTAAAACCTTTACTAACTGGCCCCGTACAGAAAAAAATGTGTCAACCCCTATTTTTTTTTTTTTTTTTTAAAGATTTTATTTATTTGAGAGCGAGAATGAGAGACAGCATGAGAGGGAGGAGGGTCAGAGGGAGAAGCAGACTCCCTGCTGAGCAGGGAGCCCGATGCGGGACTCGATCCCAGGACTCCAGGATCATGACCTGAGCCGAAGGCAGTCACTTAACCGACTGAGCCACCCAGGCGCCCAACCCCTATTTTAGATAAATCACTGCAGGAAATGTTTTGCTGAACAGGGACAAGGCAAAATGGTCCCATCTGAAGAAAATTTTGGCGGAGGTTTGCTGGTTCCATCATATAGTCAGATCGAAATAATACACATGTGGATTGGCAACTCTGGGTACTGAAATATTCTTCTGGCATCATAAGCAAAGTCGGGCTATGATGAAAGTACCTTCCTCTCTCTGTGAACTGGCCGTGATGTACCAAGTAACTCACGTACTTGATTCTAACAGTGTACTTCCCGTTCAACCCGACCATCTATGTGGCTCCAACATGATTTCTAGCCTTTGTAAGTCAAAAATCTTAGACCCTTGGCACTGGATAGAACTAGAAGTGCACCCTTCCCATCCGTCTGTATTCGCATAGATTCTATCGGCACCGCACTGCCTTCCTTTTAGAATCCTTCCCCGTGACATGCATCATAGTAATTGGTACTACCGCTACTCCCCAGGGCCACAAACATGTCCCTTTTGACAAATCGGACTAAGTTTTCGAGGGGGCACATAGGCTTGGAAGAATGCTTGTGGTGGTCCTGGCAAAAAGAGGTGTGGAATGTGACATCGACGCCATTATAAAGAATCCGGACAGAATGCTCACTGGGCTTTTCTCTGTCTTGCCAGAGCTCCAAGATCAACCTGGCTGCAAACCTTGGGAATCTGGCTTCCATAAGGCCCAAGGCACTGAGAACTGGTGACAGAGTGACATCGTGAGCAGAGTAGAGGGCAAAGACCTCCTCTCTCCTGCCCTTCGCGGCGCGCTGCATCCGGCTGATGGTCTGGTTGAGGATGGGGTGGGCGCCCAGGAGCGCATAGCTCAGATAAAGCTTCTTCTCCCGCCTCTCTCTCTCGTCTTCTATCTGATGTGTCTTGATCACCTTGAAGTGCTCCATGTCAATACAACCATTCCTAGTGCATGGGAAGCTGACATTGTGGCAGAAGCGGCAGAGCATGGAGTCTATGGGGTTGGCAGCTCGAAGCTGCTTGGTGGGGACGTCCACGATCCTGGCCATGTCCTCGTAGGTCCTCTCCAGCTGGCTGTTTTTCAAACGTAAGAGGTACTGCCGACGCTGCTCCTTTTCCAGATACTGGTTTCTCACGGGGCAATAGCAGTTTCCAGAGCAGAACAGAGCGCTCGGCTGGTGCCTAAAATGAATCTTCTTCCAGTCAAAATCGGGGAGAAAGCCATAAAGCAAGGCCAGCCCACTTTGTAGGGTCCGGCTTTTCCCAGTGGTCTCCAAGTAAAGCTGGTCTGTGGACCAGTCACTCGGTAGGAGTCTGTGTTTCTTTAGATAGATGTCCCTCAGCAGCTGGCCATTCTGCAAATGCTGCACGACTCCTGAAACACAGGGACACAAACCGTCCTCACTACCAGCTCAGCAAAAGAAGGAGCAAAGGGAGGCCGAGTCAGTGGCCAACTCTGCAGTGCTTTCATCAGTGCATGAGAATATAATCAAAACCATTCCCCAGCGTGTGGAAGCTACAAGAATGGGTTTGCAGGAACTCATGAGGGGAGCCCCTTGGGGTTATCCATGAAGGGATGAGCAGAGGAGGGGAGCACCAGGACCATCTGCTCAATCCCTCCCTTCCCTGGGAGGGGGCATTGTGACTGGGGGGTCTGGGAGGGCAGCAGTCAAGCTTCCTGGCAGATGTCAAGGCTGTAATTGGCATGGGCTTAAGGAGAACTTTCTCCCTCCTGCCTAGGGACACAGCATTCTTTAGTGTGCAGGGAGGGACCATGGAAATCAGTCAGGTAAAGAGAAAAAGGTGCGGCTGGCTGCTTAGTCCCCTCACTGTTGGGAGGTTCTCTCCTTCGCCTCATTCTCCCTACTCTCCCAAGTGAAGGCTTGCTGCCAAACTTCTAGGTACATTCCACCTAATCCTCCTGGACATTACTGGCTCATCAAGGACATTCTGTCTGCAGAGAGATGGAATGATCTCTCAGACACCCAGATAGAATATTTGGAAAAAAAAAAAGCAAAGTGCAGAACAGTACATGTATTATACTCCTTTTAAATAAAAATGAGGGAAAAATAAGAATGTGTATTTGCAGTTGTTTGTGTTTTGCATAAAGAAACTTTGGAAAGATGCATAAGAAACCAATAGCAATGGTTACCTGAGGAGATGGGGGCACAGAAATGGGGCAAAAGGAACATGGATAGGAACAAGAATTTTAAATTTACCTGTCAAGTAAAAGCTTAAAAAGTTTTAGTTTTGAACTACCACAGTATGGTAACAAACTATCTTTAAAAAAAAAAAAGAAAGAAAGAAAAGCAAAGCCTTATCTTCAAGCAGGAGAAGACAATCCAAGAAGAAAGCAAGCTCACCCTCCAGGCAACAGGATGGAGGGGGATGGAATCTCAGTAACAGATCTGAATTCTCTGAGGGTCAACCACACTCAGGCCCCCCCAGACCAGTTCATGACCAATGTTGCTTACTCAGATGCACAAACGGTGTGAAAACCTGAGACAACTCGAGGCTGCGATGCATGAGACAGAGGGCACTGCACTGGCCCAGGAAGGGGGAACAGCTCAGGAAAATATCACAAAGGACACCTGTGTCCCCTTCTGAAGGAAAAATATCGAGCGCAGAACTCCCTCAGAGATCTGGGCTGACACAGGTCTTAGGCATTTCCAGAATGGTTTGCAAAAAGAGGCAAACCATGATGACAAACATTAAGAATCTGTGTCTGGCCCCAGTTCACCTCTGGGCCTGCCTTATATTCCTAGGCTGCATGTATTAGGGTTGAGGGCTTCTCGTATGCCAGACCTTTCTCCTTTCATCCTCACAAAACCCCGATAAGGTAGGCATGTTATTATTATTCCCTCTTTTCTTTATTTCATAGCTGAGGAAACTGAGGCCCCGAGCCAATCACTGTGAAGAGTGGCAGAGGTGGCTGGCACTCCAGCCCCTATCTGGGCCCAACCTTGCCCTCCTAGTCCCTGCTCGTAGCACTTCCTCCCGGTCTTTTCAGGCAGAAATACTAAGTTCTAGCCAGTTAAGGCCTCTTAGCCTCTCCAAACACCGCCCATATCTTCATGACCTTGGTCATGCCCTTCCCCTTTCCCAGCCTAGAGAAATCCTCATCCAGTGCCTGGCTCCAATACTGCGGGCTCTGTAGTCTTCCTTCTTCCTCCTCCAGGGCAGACCAAGAATTCCTTCCTGTTCCCGTTCCACTGGATCTCCAGGACTTGAGCTGTGATTGCTGAGCGTCCTGCAGCAGCTGCATGCTCCTTTAGGACAAGGCGTGGAGCATCTATTCATCCAGCCACTCCCCGCCCCCCTACACTCAGCAGCTGCCAAAGCATCTTGAATAGAGTAGGCACTAATTATCGGTCTTATATAGTTACTGTGGGGTGCCAAAAGTGTTTCAGTTATAAATGGTTATTCTAACAGCTGTGCATTTTTAATGAAATTTAAAATAGAAGATAAAAGTGAGCATTAAAAGAAAATTAGGGAACAGGAGCAAACAGTACCGTGAAAATGATTTCTCGAGTAATGCCGATTTAGAAAACGATATAGATAACAGAACAACTGAGAAGAAAGGTAGGCATGAATGAGTGTCTCTAAGTGTGTGAGGGACAGCTCCCCCAACCTCTTCTCGGGGAACAGCCCGTGGATCCAGAGGCTGGGCAGGCCCCCACTGCTCAGTGCACAGTTGCCCTGACCTCCGAGCCGGCTGATGGACACTGACCCTGAAGGACCCCGTCAGATTTTCTCTTTCTTACTCTCTCAAGAATTTGGACTTGCAGTTCATCTCTAGGTGTGGCCAGGACTGTCCCTCTGTGGACAGACACGGAGCAAAACCACAAAGGCTGGGATAGACAGATTTCTTATTCCTGGTTCCAGTTTCTGGAGGCCTGGTCATATTCTTGCCCTCAGAGTCTGGAGTCACCCTGAATCCGTACAATAAATGTCCCTCTTCTGCTGGAGTTGATTTCTGTTACTTGCAACGAGAAGGTCTACTAACCAATCGTTCTCAGCAAGCCTGGCTCTGCTCTCAGGGAGGGCTTGGGGGGTTGAGTTGTCACAATAATATGGGGAGGAACATTCTGGACACCTACTGGGTGGGGGCCACGGAGCCAGGCAGTCTCCCCAAGGAACTGTTCTCTGACCCACATTAACTTTTGAATGTACCACAAGATACTACCATGTGTGAAAAACCTATTTAAATACTTTAGCCTAGAGTCTGTTTTTTTGTATCATAAATACAAAACCATTTTTGCATACCATTAACATGCACTGATTTTTCCAGAAATGCAACAGAAATTAAGGGACATCTGTATTTTATTTTGGTCAGAACTTGTTAAAAAAATCATGTCCCAAAATGTGGTGTTAGAGTTCCCCATATAATATCCCTCGGTCTGCCAATCTACATTTAAGCATTTAAGTGTAAACAATGAACTATGCCATTCTGTTTCCTAGTGAGGGTGTGCTCAGGCTTTTATACTGAGACACACAGCATTATATAATAAATTCATTTCCTTTCGTTTCTCCTTTATATTATAGTTACGGTGCCTGATATAACTGCTCTTCTTTACAATTTTGTATCTAGAAAGGTTATAATTTTATTTGAATTTCACTTCAGGAGAGTGAAGGGAGCACCACAAAATATTTGTTACACAAAGGGGGTGCTTGGTCTGGTCGGAGGCGAACTCCTGTTTTAAACCACGGCAAACCTTGAGCACACAGAACTAATTATCAAAAGCTTTTTTTTTTTTTTAAGATTTTATTTATTTGCGAGAGAGAATGAGAGACAGCATGAGAGGGAGGAGGGTCAGAGGGAGAAGCAGACTCCCTGCTGAGCAGGGAGCCTGATGTGGGACTCGATCCCGGGACTCTAGGATCATGACCTGAGCCGAAGGCAGTCGCCCAACCAACTGAGCCACCCAGGCGCCCTATCAGAAGCTTTTGACAAAACTCCTTATTCAAGGCTAGTCTTCCAGAGCCTTCAGCTTTGCCCACTCTGTCACTATCATTCTCCCCAATAATAATGGCTTCAAAAACATGGCCAAACTCCGCAGGGCCAACCACAGGACAGAGACCTTCCTTCCATCAGAGTTGAGGTCCCACGGTACTTGTGGGATGAGGAAACAACACGGCCGATAGGTCCTCTCAATTCTTCCAAAAAGGCTGGTGACCATGCAAAGGTCCTTTGAGGTCCCAGACTGAAGTAGGAAGAAGCTAGAACCTACTGGGGGGCTCCCAGTTCCTTCTCTTCCTAACAGAGGTAGCCCCCCAGTTAACTCGCCAACCTGCCCTGACATCCGGAAACTGGCTGTGTAATGAATGGTACGAACAGGGCTGCAGAGGGAAAGGTGGGCTTCTGTGAGGGACACACTCGGCCAAACAAACTCTGTGCTCACTGGGGATCTGCCATATGTGTTTGCTCCTGAGATCTCGCACATGAGAACTGATCAGGTCATTTTCTTTGAAGTTTCTAAGAACATGGGATTGGTTACATAAATTATGGCCCAGTAATAGTGGGATAATATGGAGACACCAGAAATGATGCTGTTCATGAATATTTATCGACAGGGAAAGATTATCACAATGTACTGTTAAATGAAAAAGTAGGTTATGAAAGAGTGTGTTTAGTATGTGCACGCACACGGACACATGAAAAAAGATGACTAATGTCTTTTTTTTTTTTAAGATGACTAATTTCTTTGGTGGATTGGGATTATAGGTATGTTAAACTTCTCTTCCTTTTGCTTGACTGTCTTTCCTAATTTCTCTTCCATTGACATATACTGCTCTTGCACTAAGAAAAAGGGTTATTTTTAATTTTTTAGAAATCAGATGTTCATTTAGATACCTTGGTGGACTCAGAGCTCCCCGAGGCGCCCATCCTTACTCATCCCTGTGAGCCCACAGCACCTTGCCCAGGAGCGTTTGCTCCAACATATGCCACACGGAAGAGAGCGCAGGAGAAGGAGGGAGCCGATGGACGTCACACATACCTGTCTGCGTGAGCTCTCCCATCTCACACAGTGGGTGATTGGGGTAAAGAGGCAGGGAGTGTAAGGGGCTTTCGAAAGAGGCTCCGGATCCTTTCGACATGTGACTAACGAAAGCTTCCAGTTTAGGGTGATACGGTTTCCTAAAGAGACGACACAGAGAATTAGTGGTCACTATGCTCCAAACAGTCCACAAGGGTTTCAACTTCAGCCAGCAAAATCCCAGCTGTGTCACGCCCTGCTCACCCATAACAACAGGTCCTGGCTCAATCATTTTGACTTTTTTTTTTTTTTTAAAGATTTTACATATTTATTTTGAGAGAGTGAGTGTGCAGGAGCAAGGGGAGGGACAGAGGGAGAGGAAGAAGGAGAGAAGCAGATCCCCGCTGAGCGCAGAGCCCGACACCGGGCTGGATCTCAGGACCCTGAGGTCATGACCTGAGCCAAAATCAAGAGTTGGATGCTTAACGGACTGAGCCACCCAGGCGCTCTTGGCTCAATCACTTTTTTTTTTTTTAAATAAAGATTTTATTTATTTATTTGTCAGAGAGGGAGAGAGAGAGACAGGGAGCGCACAAGCAGGGGGACCGGCAGGCAGAGGGAGAAGCAGGCTCCCTGCAGAGCAGGGTGCCCGATGCGGGACTCGATCCCAGGACCCTGAGATCATGACCTGAGTGGAAGGCAGATGCTTAAATGACTGAGCCACCCAGGCGTCCCGGCTCAATTACTTTGAAATTCCGGTATCATTACTGCTCGACCCCTGACGTTCCATGAGGTCAGCCTGGGCCCCCAACCTCTGCTGAAGCATCCATCATTCTGGGCACTGTGGGAGTCAGCTTTGCCCTCCCCTTCCCAGATCCCCAACCCGTGCCCCTCCTGTCTCCCTCCTCAGGAGTCTACCAGCTGCTACCAGACAGGCCCAGGCTGGGAGTCCTCCCTGATTTCTCCCTCCCCTGCTCCCATGCATGCCATCTGCTACCCAATCCTGCAGATGTGCCAGTCCTCCTGGGGCTTCTCTGCCCCTCTCTCCTGCATCCCTGCGGCCACTGCCTGGGTTCTGGCTCAGGCAGCTTTTGTCGGTAAGGCCTGGGCTCCTCTTTGGCCTACCTGCGGCCTAAGCTTGCCTTCTGAACAGCCCGAGGTCGACTTAAAAGCAAGGCCGGTTGTCCCACTCCTGTACACTGCTACCTTCCCCCAGGACCCGTGCCCCTGGCCTCGCAGTCTGTCCCGGCCCCGCAGTCTGTCCTGGCCCCACCTCACTTTGAGGCTCAGGGCTCCCCACCCTCTCCGGTCTAATGCTGGGCGCTGGTCCCACACAACCCAGCGCCTTCTGTTCCCCCAACCACCTTGTTCTTTCATGCGTCCAAGACTTTCCACGCACCGCCCCTTCCTCCTAGCAAACCTACCTCAGCCTTCACCTCAGTAATCCTTAACTGACCTCTGGGAAATCTCCTTTGAAGAAAACTAACTGGTTAAGATAACCAAGATCTCTATAGCTCTCTACAATTCACTATGCATTTTGTACATACAAGTATCTCATTTTATGTGGGGTGGTAACGAAAAGCTAAAAAACGTCTCTTTTCTTAGAATACCTGACATTATTTATATTTCTGCCATGAAGTACATGGGGGTAAATCAAGATTTAATTTATCTTTCTGGTTGCTAGTATACAATTTCCCTGAACTATGAAATGACCTACAAATATATACACATTTTCTCTGAATAATGAGATGACCTATGAATATACACACCTTTTCTTTGAAATAATGAAATGGCCTATGAATGTATATACATTCTCCAGCTGAACGGAAGTGAACAGGTAAGACGTGAACAGGTAAGACGAGTTCCCAGCTAAGCTAAATCAGCATGAAAGGAAGCAAGGACTAATTGTTCTAATGGCAGACCTCTCCTGTCTGAAAGCCCAGTTAACTTTGGCTGCTAAAATGCTTTTATTAGGGCACCTGGGTGGCTCAGTTGGTTAAGCGACTGCCTTCGGCTCCGGTCATGATCCTGGAGTCCCGGGATCGAGTCCCACATCGGGCTCCCTGCTCAGCAGGGAGTCTGCTTCTCCCTCTGACCCTCCTCCCTCTCATGCTCTCTGTCTCTCATTCTCTCTCTCGCAAATAAATAAAATCTTAAAAAAATAAAATAAAATAAAATGCTTTTATTATCTTTCAAAAACGTAAAACTAAAAAGGAGCCCATCTTTAAAAAAATGTTCTAAATTTAGAAAATGCTAATCCTGACACGGTATCGTCTAAATCATCCTGGATTGCTGCAGGGCACTCTTTCCATAAAAACAGACGGTATGTTATTATTCCCGAGGCTAAAACACAGAAATATTTGCAAACTGGGGAATAAGAGTTCCAGACTGACAATGAGGCTGCCAATATGAATCCACATACACAAAGGCCATCCATCAACAGGAGTCAAATGTTCTGCTCCAGGCCATTATTTTGGGTTGGTGATTTTTGAGGATCTGAGAAGGTTTTGCTGCCAATTTCAGGAATGAAATTTCACTACTGGAAGTGTTTGCTGAGCTATCCCAGCTTTTCAGGACATCTGACTGCTTAATGATATGCTAATATCTAACTGTATACATGAGAACTTGTTTTTGGTCTGGAAAGATGGTGACTCTTGGAAGAAAAACTTCACTTACAGAAGAGAGAGCAAATGGCTGGATCTTTTTAACAAGACGAGGACCAGGTAACCTGAGTCCCTGGGCCTGTCCTGGATCTAAATGACCAGATCCTGCCTGCGGAGTCCCATGCCCCCACCCCTGGAGCCAAGAGGGTACCGGGCATGTGGCAGATACTCCAAAACATGTGTGAATGAATTTGACTGGGAAGTACCCCATCCTTAGATGCTTTATGGAAAGTCCAGGCCTCCCATAATCTGTAGCAATGAATATGGCAAGTTCCTATACTGGTTTATTAAAATATTCAGATTTCAATGGAAATATGCATGAAACTGCTGTGATAAAGACTCTCTTTGAGTAAACTATAGTTAGGCTCCTCTGAACCCTCTTTCCAACTAGGCCTCAACTTTAGGACTTCCATATTCTTTGGACTTATATCCATCTTTGTATTGCTCCGTTTTAGCAAAAATCCTGCTAAGTTGAGTTAGCCAGAATCTCCCGCTCTTGATATCTGATCAAATTCCTCATCTAAAAAAAAAAAACTTCCTCATCCCCCAGATGGTATCTGCTCACCCTGGCCTGCCTTCAGCAATCTCCTCACCCCTGAGGTCTCCTCTTAGTTTCCATCCACTGACCTCCACCCTGCTCCTTGGCTATAAATTCCCATTGCCCATGTTGTATTTGGAATTGAGCCCAGTTCTACACTGAGATCTCTTTTCCCCTCCCGCTTTAGTTCCTGAATACAATCTGTTTTTACTACTACTAACTACTGTCTGGCTCTGGTTTTTCTTTTAACAGCTGTACACTAAAATCTGTTCTCCTCTAGGGCGCCTGGGTGGCTTATTTGGTTAAGCATCTGACCCTTGATTTTGGCTCAGGTCATGATCTCAGGGTCATGAGATTGAGCCCCATGTTGGGTTGCATGCTCAGTGGGGAATCTGCTGGAGATTCTCTCTCTCCCTCTGCCCCTCCCCCCACTTGCGTGTACTTTCTCGCTCTCTCTCAAATAAATAAAATCTTTAAAAAAACCCAAAAAAACAACTAGGGCGCCTGGGTGGCTCAGTTGGTTAAGCAACTGCCTTCGGCTCAGGTCATGATCCCGGAGTCCCGGTACTGAGTCCCACATTGGGCTCCCTACTCAGCAGGGAATCTGCTTCTCCCTCTGACCCTACCCCCTCTTGTGCTCTCTCTCTCTCTCAAATAAATAAAATAAAATCTTTAAAAAAAAATCTATTCTCCTCCTCTTGGGAAGTTGGTTAGATCCAGTTTCTGAGGTCCCAGTGGCTAGGCAGAGTCACATGGTATTCACTAATGGAATAGAAGGATGTATCCCACTACTGGGTTTAGGTTTTCAGACCATGGGGTGCCCCTTCGCATTCTTTTCCTTCCCACTGGCCACTAGGTAGACATGGCAGCAATCCAGGTTCAATCACGTAGACATCCCTAGGGCATGATGGGAGCCATGACCTGGAAGGGGACCTGGGGCCCTAAATGACCAAGTGGTTCCATGTCATATGACCTGGATCACTCATCTCAGACCTTCACACAAGGCAAAAATCAACTTTGTTATTTGAAGCAATGTATTCTTCAGTCTCTTTGTTATAAAAGGCTAGCCTTACTCTGACTAGCACAGAAATGATTATATTTGCCCTGATGAATTTTTCTTCAGGAAAAACTCATGTTATTGCAGCCTCATTGGAAATCTGTTTTCCTACTAAAAATTGAAAGAATTAAAGGTGCTACTATCTTAAGGCTTCAAACTATTCACTTGCAGAGTTTGTATTTACATTTTTGTATGCATTGTTTACATCTCTCTGTGCCACAAAGCTTGACACAGAACCCTGAGACTAATCTACACACCCATGAGAAAATTTATTGTGTTTTAGCTATAATAGGAGCAATTACTGAGTCTTGCACAGAACATTAAAACAGAGAAGAGATATAATACCAGTGATATTGTTATCAGAAAACACAATTCAAAAAAGCTTACATGGCTGGAAACTGGAAAGAGTTCATACCACAGATTTTTACAATTTATGCAACCGAATTTACTTTATATTATTAATGAAATAAAATTCTAAAAAGATCAGCTCAATATACTTTTCTTGGTCTTTGGCTTTCTGGACCTCTGCGCACTACCTGAGGTGATTAGTTGCCCCTCATCCTTTCTTAAAACTTTCTCCTTTCTTAGCTCTCCTAACACCGCCTCCGGTTTGCAAAGTCACGGTCTCCTCCTGGGATCCTCCTTTCTCTCCGTGCTACGTTCTAGGTTGGTGTTTGCCAGGACTCTGTTTTTAGCCTTCCCTCGCTCCACAGGCTCTGTGATACCAGTCACACCCACGGCATCAGCTGCCATTGGCACGTGAACTCTCAAATGAACCTCCAACTCCCAGCAGGACAATGTGCCAGAGCCCCACACTACACGCCTATACTACCTTCTAGAAATTATCACTGGAATGTCTGATGACAGCTCACGCTTAGCACCGAGACCTGTCCTCAAAACTTCTTTCCCCTTCCTCCCTTCTTCTGTGCTTTCTATTCCGGGCAGGGGAACCATCACCAGCCAGACACCCAATCAGAAATCAGGGCATCATCCTCTCTGTCTCTGTCTCACCCCCATCCTACCTGTCAGCAGGTCCTAAAAACCCTAAAAACCTTGTGACCTCTCAGATCTAAGCCTTCTCTCCAAATCCACTGCCACTCCCTGAGTTTTGGCTCTATCATTTATTCATTCAACAAATATTTAATCGTGCTGCTCCCACGGGCCAGGTACCGTCTTAGACAGTTGGGGTACAGCAGCGATGAACACTGCCCTCAGGGAGCTTACATTCTAGCCTGGGGAAACAGACAACATACAATGAACACTAGAAAGTGTGCGTGAGTGTGTGTGCGCACGTGCGCGAGCACGCACATGTGCGTATGTGTGCATGTTTGCACATTAGAAGGTAACATGCCATGAAGCATGGACTGGTTTCTAAAGAAGGGCAGGGAAAGGGGGACCTGGGAGACTCGGGTGGATGAAGTGCATGGTAATTTTAAGTGAAGCATTCTGAGCAGTCTTACTGAGAAGGTGACATTTAAGCAAAGGCTTGAAGGAGGTGGGAGAGCCCGTGGGCCATAAAGCTGCTGGGGAAAAGCTGTCTGCAGAGAGGACACAGTAGGAAGGAGAGCTAAGGGCAGTGTGGCTGAGGCGGAGTAAGTGAGGGAGAGGAGAGCAGAGCCCCAGGGGAGGGCAAGGGCAGCACATGGGGAGGAGGGAGAGCACTGGAGGCCTTGTAGGTCCAGGACTTGGGCTGGGAGTCTGCAGGAAATCTTTCTTCTGGATCACTATCCCCACAGGAACATAAACATCACCTCCAGCCTCTAATCCATCCCCCCGCATCATGGCAGCCAGAGATCTTCATAATTTCATCCCTCCACTTCCCAGCTCCTTCACCACCTCCATGCCTGGCGTCCACACTCCTTAGCTGGGCATTCGAAGCATCCGATGACCTAGTCCCTCCCTGCCTCTACACTCATGCTCCAGCCTGTGGTTGAGCTGTCCACCTCCCCCCACCTTTGCACAGGTAGGTTTCACCGCCCCAGGTGCCATTTATCATCAGCTGCCACCTGACATGTTCCTGCACACCCTTTAGGTCCCTCTGCCCCGGTGGCCTTCCCTGCCCTGCCATCCCACCTCTTCCTCTGCCCCAGGCTGAGTCAGGCTGCCCTCTCGTGGTGCATGCCCCCAAATATGGTTCCCAAACTACTTGCACTTCTACTTTTTCTAATTCTTCCACTTCTTCTCTAATGCTGCTGCCGCCACCATCAGTACTGACCACCAGATCTGTCTCTCAGAGGGGAGTGGGCCCCCTGGGGGCAGGAACAGCCTTTCTTCTACAAATCTTTAGTAGCCGGCTCTCCCCTTTCCTCCTCCCATCCAGCTACATACTGATCTTACTGTTCTCATACCTGCGCAGATCTTCCGGCCCCAGGACCTTTGAACTTGCTGTTCCCTCTATCTGGAACACTTTTCCCCCAGATCTGCACAGGGCAGACTCCTTCATTTTATTTAGGGGCCTGCCCACATGCCACCTCCTGGTATGTGGGCCAGTCACATGTCACAATACCTGACACATAACAGGTGTTTAAAAATAAAATGTATTGAATAAATACTAATTGAAGCAAATACTCTTTTCTTCCTTGGATGTAGAAAAGAGTATCTGATTCATATTCATGAATGCAAAAAAAAAAAGCATTCAATAAACATTGCGTATCTACGGCTAATAACCTTATTGCTGGCTGAACACTGTCCTAGGAGAGTGAAAATCGCACCTCTGTCATGAGGCACAGGACATTCATGAAGAGGCAGCTTCCACTACAAAGACTTGGGAGAGCCACGACCATGTCCCGTGAAGGGAAACATTGGGGCCACCAACATGCACAGACATCAGCTCCTACATTCCCTGCCTGCTGGCCCAGATCTGCCCTCTCACTAGACTAGAGGAGCGGGCACATTCTAGGACCCACTGCCTTTAAGGCGCCATAAAAATTAATGATTCCTGAAGCTGAGCCAGTACCTGGGAAGGCAGCAGGCACAGCTGGTGACCCAGACCCCACAGTCCCAGGGGACTCAGAAGCCCAAAGTGGGGCCATGTTGCTGGGAGTCCTGCTCACTCTAAGTGTGCATTTATAATGACAAGTCAACTCCATGTTTTTAAAGATGGATTAAATGACAGTAATTAATTAAACATGCATACTCCTCCCTCTTTCCACCAAGGACTTCAAGCAGCTCCTAAAGATACAAAATGTGCAATAAAATAGAAGTAGGTCAAAAGATCAAGGCCAGAGAAAATGAGGGCAGAGATAGCCAGAGCAGCTGGTCCCCCCCTAGGAACTGCGCCTCTCAAATGGGAGCTCCAGAAATGGCCCTGTCAGGGGATCCTGCTGTGGCTGTGACGGAATGAGGGGCCCTGGGGCCTGGCCTGGCCTGACCATGACCTCGCAGAGTAGGAAGGAGGCCGGGCCCAGCAAGCCTGCAGGCCACTGCAGTAAATGAAACACCATCGCGGGTCCACCTCTCAGTATGACCAGCTCAGTGCTTCAGTCCATCCCCTTAGTTAGACTTCACAAGTCTGTGATCAGGGATGGACTACTGTCCCCACATTCCAGGACAGAGCGCTGGGGCTCACAAAGGTGAAGGGTTTTGCCCTCTGTCAAAAAGGTTACAAAGTCCTCAGAGGATTCCACGGCAGAGGATGTAATCTATCATGAGGCGCTGGATGGGCAATTATGACTCATGATTCTAAGGTCCTGAATTCACTCTGCAACCAACTAGTCCAACAACTATTTTATGCCAGGCTCGGTCTGGGCACCAGTGATAAAGGAGCAAGACCCAATGCCCTTGAGGAGCCAGCCAGTGGCGTGGGAAGGGCAGAGACCATCATGCTGGAAGACACGCTGCAAAGCATGAAGGTGCACAGGGGAGGCCCTGCATGCTGGCGGGCAGCTGTGCCCAATGGGCACCCTCTGTAGGAGCAGCTAGGGTAACCTCCAGAGCCTCGAGGTGCTCAGGGGCCCGACTGGTCTGGAGACAGACCCCTGGTCTGAGCCAAGCCACTGAAATTCTCACATCTGGGAGCAGAAGCCACAAGTCACCAGGGCTAAAGCATGGTATTGTCCACGGAGTCCTGGAGGCTGCCCCAAGTCTGGCCAACTGAGAGGCCTGTTGGCCTATCCATTCCTGGGCAGTTCAAAGGGCAGATACCCACAGTCTATGCTGGTGGTGCAAGGCCACTTCTCTGAGCTGCCCTGCCTGCACCCTCTCCATGTCCTCCTGCCATCCCAGACACTCCAGACCATCCCCCGATCCAGACACCACACGGTTAATACCCAGCCCGGCAAGTGGCCTCCAGCCCTGCCCCAATCCTAAGGCCAGTTCAGGACTGGTCGTCACTCTATTCTGAGGCCCTTCCCGTAAGCCCCCTTTTCAGTGGCAGTACTTGGTACAAGCAGAGAAGTCATGCTCACACAGCAGCAGGGGTTGCCCAGACGAGGCAGCATCTCAGGGGAGCCTGTGAGGAGCTGTAGGAGTGGGTCATGCGGGGACGGGGCGAGCAAGCTAAACAGCAGGGGCAAAGGCCTGATGGGCTAGGGGGCCGGCGAGAGGGGGCAGAGCAGGGGTAGAAGGTCCCAGCAGGAAGGCTGGCACAGGCTAGAGACCAGAGGAAGAAAGCCAGTGTCTGCATGGCCCTCGACCCAGGGGCTCTTCCAACCCATGGGACGGACACTGCGACATGCACCCAGGCTTGTTAATGTAGAAGGGACATAAGTACCCAGGCTGCGAGCTCCGTGACCTCTAGTAGGGAAGGAGAGAGTGCATGAAAGCCTACAGCCAGGCACTATTTCAGGATGTGTTTATATCTAAGGGTTCACTTTCTCTTCTCCATATAATCCTGGACGGTGAGAAGCCTGGAGACGCAGAGTCACCCTGAATCCCCCTCCCTGGGGTTCACACCACCATCCACTAGAAGGAACAGGCCTGGCTGCAGGGAGGCAACCCATGGTTCCCCCAGACCAGCCCTGCCCGGGGCAGGCTGGCATCCAGAAGCATTCCATCCGCATGACGTCTTCCTCACTGAGCACTTCCCTCTGTCTCCTCCGCTCATTTGGTCAACACTGCGAGGGATGTTATGCGCCCCCTGACACGGCGCTGAGGCCCTGCCCGTCGTTTCAGCGCTAACCCGGCCTCTCATTTTAGAGCCGTATGCAATCTGTTGGATTATTTTTCATCCTAAGGGCATTCAACCAGGAACATGCTATCCCTAATCCCGTGAAAAATGAAAAGGTGGAAGTCAGGTCTCACATGTATATGGCTCTGCAGCTGGGGGTGCACGTTCTCCTCTATCGTGCGTCACTTCCTCCTGACCCAACGGTCAGCAGCAGCATCCCCACTGCACAGATGGGAGGGGGAGGCTCAGAGACTAAGGGACTTTCCTGCTGCCTCAAACAGCACAGCTGCCCCAGGGTCTGAGGACATCTGGCCCTGCGCTCACTGCACTGTGTCCCAGCTCTTTTTCAAACTGCAGAACATGGGAGGGGAGAGTGGGCCTCACACTGGCCTGAACCCAAATCTCAGTTCATCTGCTGTGTGGCCTTACACAGCTGTCCTTGCCTCTCTGGGCCTGCTCCTTCTCCACTGGGAAATGGCAATTAACACACAGGATTGCTTTTGAAGATCAGGCTCTTGGCAAACAGGACGTGCTCAACAAACGTAGCTTATTCCCCTTTCTGCCATTCTCCAGCCAGCATTTTGATCGGACAGAGAACAGATTCTTGAAAATGACTAGCAGGAAAAGTGCAATTTACCTGTTAGCCACCAGAGTGCAGTCAATTTCTGGTCGCTTCGTTTTGGGAATGACATACAGTGGGTACCTGTCCCCGTGTCGAATGAACACATGCACTGAGACCAGCTTAAAATGATGCGGGGCGTGACCTGTGGGAGAGGAGCATATCGCCTGGTTAGCACTCAGGAGGTGTGGATCCTGTCCACTTCGCACAGGTGGAGGGATGAGCATGGCAGGAGGGTGCTGGTGTAGGGGGTGGTGCTCACAAGGTGGGTGGAGAAACGGAGACAGGGCTGGTTATGTCTCAGACCCCCCAGAAGTAACAGGCTCTGGGGGTGTGGGCTGGGGGCTGGAGGCCAGTGAAATGGGGGCACGATGATTCAGGTGGCCTCACTCACATCCACAGCCTAGAGGGAGGCCTACAGAAGTGCTAGAAACAATGACTTCTGCTTTGAAGCTCCATGGAACAGGGGCTCCCAGCTGGCTCAGTCGTTAGAGCACGTGACTCTTAATCTCAGGGTTGTGAGTTCAAGCCCCACTTGGGTGTGGAGCCTACTTAAAAAAATAAATAAAATAAATAAAGCTCCATGAAACAAATCAGGGCACAAATTGATAAAAATATTCAATATCATTGATTGATACACTTTCAAAAAAGCAAAACTCAACATAGAAATCCTATTTTCCTACACTTTTACCGCAAGATACCAACAGAGCATCCCGCATCCTGTGGATGTCCTAAGCCCCGAGAGAGTTTACTGGAAAGGGGGGGGTAGATGGGGGTGACACCCTAGAGTCCGTCAAGCCTACCTCTGGTATCTCACCGAAAACCATGATGGAGAATATGTACAGAGGGCTTCTCGTGAGCTGTCCAGAGCAGTTACGGAAGCCTCCGGGCAGCCCTGTGAGTAGGGACTGCTTGTTACGCCCATTTCACGATGAGGAAGCTAAGACTTGGGAACTCATTCAGGGGCACGGTCTAGTGGCGGCTGCAGGATTTGAGCCCAGGCTGTCTGGCTCCTTCCTACCATGCTGTGCCACTTGAAGAACAACTAGTCCCCAGAGGGGTGCGGGTCCAGGTGCCACGCTGGGCAGCGCAGGCAGGCCTACCTTCCATGCTGCGCTCAGCCACGCTGGGAATGTTGCAGTACAAGAGAGCTTCGTAAATGGGGTCCGTCACGGGGGGCTCTGTCACTGGCTCAGGCATGACTCTCTTTCGACTCTTGCTACTCACTCCATTCTTAGCTGTGGACACGGGGGTCAGGTGGACTGCAAGGGAAGCAAAGCAGGCCATGACATGTGCAGTCACAGGAGGAACCAGGCCAGCCGCAGGGGCCCAGAGCGCGGCTGGACTTGCACCAAGTAACTCTTCTCTCCCTCGGCACTAGGGTGGGCTTCAGTCCAGCAAGCGGTCAGCTTCTCAACAAGAACTTTCTTGAGCCCTCAGTGTGCCCTGCCTCTTTCTCAATGCCGTTACCTTCTCCTGACCAATAATTAGTTGTGCAAAAGGCAGGTGGGCCACCCCGGAGAAAGGGGCCTCGCTCCGGTGGTAAAGGAAGAACTTCGGGCAGCCTGGTTACCTCATTCCTAACGCCCTTTGAATTCTGGTAAATACCAGAGAGGAAACCCATCACCTTTTGAGTGCCTACGAAGTGCTAGATGTGCTGACAGATCTCATTTGATATCATCTGCTTTGCACTTTGGGGTCCCCAAGAGCCCAATGGCAGGCGTCACTCATTAAGCTTCCCAAGACCACTTTACAGAGGAGAGAGCCTAGTGCCAAGAGGGAGACGGAGGCAGCCACCCAAGGCGGATGTGGTGGATGGAGCCCCATGTCAAGCTCATTCCTCTGCCTCCCGGCCAGGTTCTCCCCACCAGTCTTCTGGATGTCATGCATTCATCCTGCAGTCTGTCTGTCCATCTAGCACCCCTCTTTCTGTGGGTGAACTGCTCCTTCCCAGCGTCCCTGCCCCAGGCTAGGAGGTGGGGGGACATGTGACTGAGTCAATGAGGATAGCGATGGGGCAACTCGTCTCCTTTTCCTTGACAGAGGTCCTGTGCACACACTAGCAAAGGGTCTCTCGTATGCTGATCTCTAGGAATGGAAACCCGGCGCTGCTCCAGCTACCTGTCCCTCCTCGGACAATCTCTGTCTGCAGGGGGAGAAAATGATGCTGAATAGAGACAAGGCAGACCAACACATGCAGAGACCTAATCAGAGAGACAGAGAGAGAGAGAGAAAGACCTGAGGACATCATTCTTGGAGACTCTGGGTTCAGATGTGGCTGAAGCCAGAACCTCTCTTAGATGTCCCAGTAATATACATCATACATAACCCTTCTTGCTTAAGCTAGTTTGAGTTGGGCTTTAGTTACTTTCAACCAAATGAGTCCTGACTAATAGACTTTATGAATTACTTATAAGCAGATGTAAGTCCATCTTCTGGGTCAATGGTCCCCAACTTTTCCATGTATGCGGGACCTCTTTGCAGCATCACAGATTTTCTGGAACTCTCTACACAATGATAGTTGTACTTTTAGCATCCACCAACTGAGGAAATGCACAGAAATAGCTGTGCCCAAGTATCATTTAATTTCTAAAAGGTTTATTAATCACCAGAATATATATACATACATTTGAACAATAGCTAAAACAGGGCCCAACCACCAGCCTAAATCCATTTAAATTCCCTAATTCCTTCTACAGATTTTTCTAAATAAATACTTAAGACTTCCCTTTGGCAAACAGATGTTATAAATAAAGGTAAAAGACAAACAATCCACTGAAAGGAAAATATTTGCAACGTACGTAACAAATTATTAATATCCAAAATGCATATGAGCTCCTACAACTAAAAAATCAGTAAGGGATATGTGCAGGCCAAGTACAGAAAAATAAATACCAACCAAACAGCATCTTTTCATATGTTCAATGTTATTCATACTTAAATGCAAAATAAAACAACAGCCTCTGATCCCGCCTATCAGACTAGAATATCCTGTTTTTATAATAATACCAGTGCTGGCAAGGGTGTAAAAACTCACTTCCACACCGCAGGTGAGAGTGAAAATAGAAACCTTTTGGAAGGATTTGGCAGTATCTGCTAAATGTTATATGTGCCTTATCCCTGATCCCTTGACTCTACGTCTTGGAATCTACTCGTCAGACATCAATTCCAGTCATAAAGATGTACGGCCAAGGAGATTTGTTGCAGTGCTGTTTGTAATAACAAAAAAGGGAAATCGACTAGGTATCCATCATTAACAGAACAGAACGTTACACCCATATTGGGGAATATTCTGCTACAGTTAAAAAGACTGGAAAAGAATCAAAGATAAATGAAGTGAGGTGAATAAATCAAGCTACTGGATAAGGAAAAACAAACTATAAATGTATGAATATACAGGCATTTGTTTATTATGTAAATGCGTAGATGTCTATAAGGACACCCATTATAATGCAGCAGTGGTTTCCTCTGGGGAATGGATGGAATAGGGGGTGAAGAAGTATTTTTACTTGTTTTTCTATAAATGTCTATATTGTTTTACAGTCTACACACATCTATATTTACAGTAAGCATGTGTTACATACTTCCTCTATGTACAAACATATATGTATCTTTCTATAACGTCTACTCATACTTCTTTTATTAGCAGATTTTCATTCATTACTTGTATTACTTGTATTACAACAACCATCACAGAGCTATAGAATTGGTCCTTCACCAATTCAAAATTAGTCCTTTGGTTGGCCCTATATTCACTTTCTTCCCAGCAGCTGGAAATGGCCAGATCTGGTAACATACAAGCTCAGATGTCTAGAGGTAATTTACCATTGGGGGATTGGTGCCAGAGTAAGGGAAGGAGAAAAGTATATGTCTGAAGGCAGCATCTTAATGACCCAGCAATTCTGGCTGTGTGGCAACTCTGAGCCCTTAACTCTGCTCTCTTATGACATGGTGCCAGATTCTGGTCCCTTGGCCATGCCTGTGAAGCTAAGGACACATGAACATATGAGTGACACGGGGACATAGGGGCATAGGTTTGCTAGTTTACCTGTAAGCACATGGGGTAAGGCCTATGGGAACCACCAGCACTTGGGAACTGCTCTAGACTGAATGTGTCCCCTTAAAATCCACATGTTGAAACCCTAACCCCCAATGTGATGGTATTTGGAGGTGTGGCCTTTGGAAGATGATTAGGTCAAGTGGGATTAGCCTCCTTATAAATGAGACCCCAAAGAGTAAACCCCTCCAATTTTAATCTCAGGAAATAAACTGAGGGTTTGCTGGAGTAGTGGGGGGTGGGAGGGATGGGGTGGCTGGGTGATAGACATTGGGGAGGGTATGTGCTATGGTGAGTGCTGTGAATTGTGTAAGACTGTTGAATCACAGATCTGTACCTCTGAAACAAATAATACATTATATGTTAAAAAAAGAAAAAAGAGAAAAGATAGTAAGAAGGGAAAAATGAAGGGGGAGAAATCGGAGGGGGAGACGAACCATGAGAGACGATGGACTCTGAAAAACAAACTGAGGGTTCTAGAGGGGAGGGGGGGTGGGGGATGGTTTAGCCTGGTGATGGGTATTAAAGAGGGCACGTTCTGCATGGAGCACTGGGTGTTATACGCAAACAAGGAATCATGGAGCACTACATCAAAAACTAATGATGTAATGTATGGTGATTAACATAATAAAAAAAAAAAAGAGTAACCCCCTCCCTGCCCCTCCACTATCTGAGTTTACAGAGAAAAGATGCCTTCTCAGAAGTGGGCCTTCACAGACACTGAATCTGCTGGTGCTTTGATCCCGGACTTTCAGTCTCCAGAACTGAAAAAAATAAACTTCTGTTGTTTTATAAGCTAGCCCTTTTATGGTATTTTTATTAAGCGACCCAATGGAATAAAAAGGAATCATGATAGCTGGGCCCAAAGGACCCATTCACAACCCAAGGAAGCAGTGGTTTGAAAGTCACAGATAAAGACTGGGTGATAGAGGCCTTCAGTCCAGAGAGATTTTATGTGCTGCTTCCCGGCATCTGGGCCTGTCAGCCTCACCCACTAGTTACTGAGATCACCCCATGCTGTTTGCACCCTCCTGAGTCACCAGAACGCAGGGCCAGCCCACACAGAGCCCTTCGACGGGTCCTCCAGATGCTAGACATCTGGGGGAGGTTCTGATGCACAGAGGCCATGGGGTAGATGTCCCCCCAGATCCGCCCTCCTACCTCCTCGCCCCCAACTTAGTTCTCACAGTCCCGAACTGCCTGGAGCTGCCCCGACGGCCACAGGGTGTTTCTCCCCCCACCCCTCCTTTTGTGTCTAACCACCCTCATCCCACCCCGACATTCCTCTTCCATTGGCCCCCACCCCCGGTTCTTGCTGCCAGCTTGGCTCACAACACAGTACCCATCAACAGGGGTGTCCACAGTTGGTCAACCAGCCGCCCCAAACATCCGGAGGGTCAGGGCTATGTCTTTTTCATCTTTATATTCCCAGTCTGACCAGCACAGGGCAGGCCCCCTATACCGCCTGTTGAACTGGAAGCTTACTCTGAGCGGCGCTGTGCTCCACGCTTTCGATGAAGTGTTTCACTGGACAGAGGGAAGACAGGCAAGGGCCCAGGGTCAGGATCAGATCATTACTTATCAGCAAAGGCCCCTAGGCCATAAGCCCCTGTGTGGCCTTGGGCCTTAGACCACCTCAGCTACCTCGACTAACTCAGTGATCCACAGGATCAACAGGTGATCCTACAACCAGGCGTCTGTTGCCAGCTCATTACCAGGGAGTCACTTTGACTCACACACGGACAAGCTTAGAGCCCCTCCTCCAGGGCACCAAGCCAATGCCCATGAGCCCAAGCTCACCTCCCCATATCAGGGCCCTGGTATAGGACAGAGAACAAACATCTACCTCACACCTGGCCCTCCTCCACTAGCTCTAGCCTTAAGAACCTCCTACTAGGGGCGCCTGGGTGGCTCAGTCGTTAAGCATCTGCCTTTCGCTCATGTCGTGATCCCAGGGTCCTGGGATCGAGCCCCACATCGGGCTCCCTGCTCCACGGGAAGCCTGCTTCTCCCTCTCCCACTCCCCCTGCTTGTGTTCCCTCTCTCGCTGTGTCTCTCTCTGTCAAATAAATAAATAAAATATTTAAAAAAAATAAAATAAAAAAAAGAACCTCCTACTAGTATGCAAGCCCTTCACAGACGCCTCAAATCTGACTTGACTGAGCATCGTGGGGGCTCCCATCCCGGGGTCAGATCACCACCCCT